CATGGTGAACCAAAAACCTAGACCCCTGGTGATCAGTCACCTGAACAAGGTTTACTACAAGTCTAGGGACAGAAATTACACATAAACTGGTAATAAGTGATTGAAAAAGTTCAAATTTGTAACAGCAGACGTTCAGTGCGCATAAACTGCTTTCAAAATGGCCAAAACTGGTTTAAGATAAGTCTGATACTACATCCAGGTTTAACTGATTTAGGTTAAATCAGTTTATTGAACTTCTGTCCCAAATCCTCTCCAGAATCAAGTCAATTCACAGTCCCCCAGGATGCTTTGAACCTCCCCTGCAAACCCCTCCTCGCAGGGTGGGTGGTCTAGCCTTGACCCAAGCTGTCTGCTCCAGCTAAGCAGGGAGGCATGCTCTAAAGCCCCTTGACATCTGGCCTGAGCCCTGCTGACAGGTAGGTGGCTGCATTTCCAGAACACAAAGTGAATGCCTGTTCACTTGCGTATCGGTTCAATCTACACAGCTTAGACTAACCTGCAAAGATTGAGTCAATTCAGCCTCAGACTTTTTGGCTGTTTGTACTTAACCTAAAAAGGCAACTCGCCTAGTAAGCCTCTAGGTGAGCATTACAGAGACAGTTGAGAGAGCATCACTTTCTAGGTGCAGTTCTACCCTTAACAGCAAGGCATCAGTGGCTGTGATCTACAACGTATGCTCCCTGCTTCCTTTCCTGTTGGAAGCTTAAAAGAATTCTCTACATATGAAACCTAAGCTGGCAAATACTGGGAACACTATATTGCACTGCCTCCCATCCAGCCCACACGCATCACAGAAAGAGCCAACGAGTGCAGTGCTTTTTGCAAGTCACGTGCAAACGTCTAACACTTCAAGGCAGGTTCTTTTGCACTTGCATCTTAAAGATGCAGCCCTCCCACATGCAGTAGCAACACTTTCTCTAGAGGTCAGAGCAGAAAGCTGAGAGTCAGGAATCCCGAGTTCTACTTCTAGCTTTGCTTCATACTTGTTAAAACAATTTTTTTTTTTTTTTTTAGCATTGGGCTTGTTCCCTTCATCTGTGGACATAGCTACTAGACTGCCCACCTACGTCTTGCAAAAATTAGCCAAGTAATGCTTGTGCAGTGCTTTGACAACCTGGATAAGAAGCACTACATTAGAGACTAGCTATTTATATATTCCTCTGAACTACCGATATATATAAGTTTGCTCCCAAGAGGACACTTCTCCAGAGACAGGTGCTACAAAACTGCCACCAATGCTTGATGTGCATTATGAAACCCTTCCTCCACGCAAAAAGAAGCTGAACCACAGCGAAATGGAATTGCATGCAGGAGAACGCCTTGCTTACGAAAGCTATAAGAGAAAAAAAAAAAAAAAACCCAAATTACTGCATAATTGACAGTGCAATTGACAGTGTCAGCAGCACACGGGGCCTTAAAAATGCTAAATCTAATAAACAACCTAGTCAGCAAAGGAGAGGAAACTATGATAGATGCAGGAGTCTA